CCCACAACAGACAAAAAAAAAAAGAGGGACACTTGCTATGGTGTTCTCCTACCTAGCGATGGTGGGGAGCCAGGGGCCACACAGACCCAGATTATTTCTTCCCTGCCTCTCCTCTACCCTAGGACCTCAGCAAGTATTATATGTTATTAGTAAGCTTGATCCTCATGGATTCCCCTGGCTACCATAAGTGCTTGCCATGGATCCTGAGGCCTTGTCTGACCCCACTTAGCATAGAAGACATGAGCAATGAGGATCCTTCCTTCCCTACTTCCCCATCCTGTTAGTATCACACTGGCCAAGTTCACCAATATTTGTGGACATAGCACTTGTCCCATCAGAGCTGGGGGGTGTGAGCCTCAGGGTTGAGCAAAGCCCAGCCTTTGCCCTGAAAGATAAGGGTGAAGAAGAGAGAGTGTGTCTAGATCTGGAGGGTGGTGAGGGCCAAACAGCTCACAAAGCCTCTCTCCATAGGTCAGCCTGCTGTTTCCCATCATCTACCTGCTGTTCTGGGCCTTCCTGCTGATCTTCAGCCTGTGGTCTGAGCCAGTGGTGTGTGGCATTGGCCTGGCCATCATGCTGACAGGGGTGCCAGTCTATTTCCTGGGTGTCTATTGGCAACACAAGCCCAAGTGTTTCAATGGTTTTATTGGTGAGTTATTGTGGCTCTGGGTGTGTAGGGGGGGCTCCAGAGCTGGTACAGGGTGATCAGCAGTTTGTTAGGGGAGTTATATCAAGATCAAGAAGCAGCCAAGTGCTAGTGGCTCATGCCTGTAATCGTAGCTGCTCATGAGACTGAGATTGAGGATTTGAAACCAACCCTAGCAGAAAAATCTGAGAAACTCTCTAACCAGCAAAAAATAAAAAAATGAAAAATTCAGAAGTAGGGGTGTGGCTCAGATGGTAGAGCACCAGCCTTGAGCAAAAGAGCTAAGCAAGAATCTGAGGTTCCGGGGCTGGGAAGGTGGCTCAGTGGTAGAGCGCTTGCCTTGCATGCATGAGGCCCTGGGTTCGATTACTCAGCACCACATAAGCAAAAAGAAAAAAG